CTTTTGATTTCCTGTGGATTCCTTTCTGTGTCCATTCATGGCTATGGGCTATGGATTTCCTTTCCTTTTCTGGTTTCTTTCCTTGCCCTCTACCTTTGTTTTGATGTTTTCTGTTCTGTCTTATTTTCTTGCCTTTTATGTTCTTTGTGTCATTTCCTCTTCTCCCCCCTCCTTTTTCCACTCCATTCCTTCACTTCTCCTTTCCATCTCCTTCCCCTACCTTTCCCTCCCCATTCCCTTTCATTCTGCTTCCAGGACAAAGCATGAGAACTGCCCAGCACATGGCGCACCCCCTTTGTGAAAGGTAACACAGCACTGATAGTGGAGCCAATAGATGGCACAACTAAGTTCCCCTCGCCTTCCTGTTCCCCCTCCTTCCCTCTCCTGCTCGTGCCTGCATCCTTTCCTTTTCCTGTCCTTGTGTTTCCTTTGTTTCACTTCTCCTTTACCTGCCCTTCCCTTTCCTGTTCTTTCTTGCTCTTTCCTTTTTGTGTCCTTTCCTTTCATCTCCTTTGCTTTCCTGCCCTTTCCCTCTCCTCTCCTTTCCTTCACTTCTCCTTTTCCTCTCTTTCCCTTGCCTTTCCCTTTCACTTCACACTCCATTGGCCTAGCTTTCAGACCAGTGCATGATAACAGCCAAGTAGATGGCACAATCAACGGGTATGGTCACGCAAAAGTAGATGGCACAATGTTTTTGAGGTTGATGATTTAGCCCTCCCAAGTCTGGAAAAATAGATGGCACAAAGAAAATGAGCTCTCACCGGTAAAGACTTGCAGGTGCCCAAAATATTGATGGCACAACCCTAAAAACACGTTCCATCTACTTTTTTTTGCGGAGCAATTGGAAAACATAAGTGATGTGGCAAGACATGAGAGTTACGCCGAGAAGCTGGGCACAGAATCTGAGAAAGAAAAAAGGAAGTTCCAAAAAAGTGGTGAATATATAAGCTTCAAAAGCTGCAGTCCATGGCTTAGCAACTGACACAAGCCCAAAGTGGCATTTGAAGAGTCGAAGAGGTATCAAAAACCTGCCTGAGTTGTAGCCAGAAGTGCTGAATTCGCATCTGGGCGGCGATAGCAATGTTGAAAATGCTTTGCATAATACAAGGAACATTGCCCAGAATGCTCTCAAACCCATGTGAATGTTGCCTTGGATCATGGTGATTCAACAAAGTAATATGGTCGGCTCCGGAATACATTTAGCAGAAAGAGCACGCCATGAGATGTTGGGACCTTCTGGAGCTTGGAGGTGAGCATCGAAGGACATGTCTAGCCTAGTCCCTCTCGGAGGTGCTGGCCTGTCCGGTCTGGTTTTGTCACAAGCACCGATTGGAAGTGCAGCACTCGACGTGACTGCAAAAGTTGCTCGAATCTTTACAAATTGCTCGGTGCCCTCCATCAAAAGAACTCGAAGCAATGACTTCAGGGAAACATCTGTTAAGATCCAAACAGCTGCGAATTTGTGTGAGGTGAATCCCCTCAGAAAATATTTCATCACCAACAGGGCACAAACCAATCCAATTAGAACTACTTGTGTTGCCTTGCCAATCTTTAGGCCATGGAGCAACCATGCTGGTATCTCTTGCAGCCAGGAAATGGTAAAGATTGGCAAGGCCCTCCGACTAGGCCATTGCCAGATAACACTTTGGCCAAAGCCGCACAGTTTTAGTGTGGCAGACCATGGAAAACAAACAAAAGACTCAGGGGAATTGCTGCATGCCTTTGCATGCCTGCGCGCTTCAACACACCTTGGTCTCAAAGTCAGTGGCAGACAAAGGATTGCTGCTTTTCTTAAGGAACCAGTTGTTTGCGATGACCATGGACCGTTTCTTTTGCCTCTGGCCCTGGACGTTTGACCTCAAGTGGCTTTATAAGACTCGATGACAAAGACCGGATCCATGGAATGAGTAAGAATTTGGAAAATGTGCTTTGGTTATATAAAGAAGAAAAAATGAGCACCTGTCTGTTCGTTTCCGGTAGATTTGCTGCAAACAGAAACTGTTTGTGATGCCTCTACTGGGAACGGTTCAAGTCTTGAGCCAGAATGACTATCTCCATCAAGTCGCGACAATCCTTCTCAATCCTCTTTCTTCTCTTCTTCTGTTTTTACGGCCTCCTGCTTCGCTTCCAACTCTGTGGATGCTTCCTGGCACCAAAAAGCAAAATTTAAGAAAAACACAGAATGCCTACACATCAGACCTACGGCGGAAAAGATCGTGCGGGTGTTTACCAGAATTGCTCATACACTTCTGTACCTCATGCTAGAAGTAGAATCATCCCAGTTTGAGCTGTATGCCACGTTGCAGGTGTTCCAGTCTTTGTTTAAGTCTTGTTTGCCGGCAAAGCATGACAGGAGCTACTGTACAATACGTACCGCGTTCAAACACTCAGATTAAAGGTTTACGGGCATTCCCTGTGGCTCTGGACCACTGGATGTGAAGAAAAAAGCACAAAGTGCAGGTGTTGAATGATGTTGCATGTGTTAGGTTTGGAGAAGAAAAGCTTCGGCTAGTTTCCATGGGTATTTTGTTGGTGTAAGATTGTCACCTAGCGACATTACTTAACCCGATTTTAATGCCCTCTGCACTTGCAGGGGCCCTGCAGGACCTTGTTCAAGCGATCGATTCCGTCATATGCATAAAAACGTTCCTGTGCACCAAAGGGCTTGCACAGGGAAGTGGACATGACGAGGTGTCACTTCGCCACAGCAGCCGGATGTAGTAACGACATGTTTGGCATTACTTGGTATGGCAGACTCACCTGGAGACAGGTAGATCTTTTGGAAGTGTGAGTAGCTAGCATGACACTGTTTCACACAAGAACAACTATGCCTTATGAAACAGGATCTGCAATCGACCAAGTAATCCACTCGGAGGGCACCGTAGTCTCGGTCTCCGTCTTCAGAGGTGAAGATGCCTCCAGATTGATGAAATCAGAGTGATGCAACGTTGCCAAAAATAAGAAGAACCAATGATAGTCCAGTTACTAGGAGCGATGCCCTTGCTCCTAGTAGTAAGGCCAGGAGCCCCTAGTAGCGTTCTTGTTCCTAGTAGCGATGCCCTTTGTTACTAGAAGCTTTAGTAACCAATGAATGAAAAATGAGGGAAAGCTGAGAGGCCAATTCAAGATCCTGAAAGCTTCAAAGTTACGTGTCGATCGTTTGTACTTGCATTTTCGCCAGACCTCCTCCGTCAACTCGGGGCCAGAAGCTTTCTTCTCCTCAACGCTCAAAAGGACTCTCTTAAGCACTATTCAGAATCCATGCAGAACTCAGAGGTCCAGTCAGTCCATGTTGAGGTGGTGATTAAGTCTGTCTCCGAGCACTGAGGACACCAAAGCTACTTCCTGGTTCAAGCGGTTCGATGGGACATCTTGTGGTCAACCTTTCTTCGGGCAGCCTGTGCGGCCTTCTCCTGCTCTTCTTCCCACTTCTTCTTCTGGACAGGTACGAATGTCGCTTTGAAGACTTGGGCATTGGACTTCATTGGACAAACATTTGCATCTGGTGTTTACTCCGTCTGCAAAGCTTGAACAACAAAGATCCCTCTCCCCCTCTCCGTCCCTCTCAGTATTTGGGAAGGTGGTGCTAGACTGTGCTCACTGACATGGGTCAAAGAAGTGTACGCCGGTGACCATCCCAAGAATGAAAAGAATCCTCTTCTGGGCAAAATTTGCCTAGGATTTCCACCCCTTCACAGGCTTGGCTGATCAAACCACGCTCCATTGCTTTTGTTGCAGGCCTGTTCCTTCAGCCATTCTTCAGCCAAGCTGCAGCTTCTTGGTCCAACCTATCACATTCATTCATCTGCATAGGACCAGTTTTCAGTAGGAAGGGGACGATGTTCAGCAACATGAAAAAGGCAGAGAGCGCATACCTTGGGTAGCAAAGCTTGCGGAGAAAGGCTCATATGTGGTTGCAAAGGAACAGTCAGTTTCAGTTGTTTCCGTTGCAATGCATTTTGGAAGCATTTGCTTCATGCATCAGCCCCAATCGTTGAAGACAAGATCTGTGTAAATAGAACAAATTTGTAGCAACACTTAGCAACACCATCAACACCCAAGAATTGGGCCTCTTTCGATGCTAACCCTGGACATGTTCCATCGGAGTCACGGAGCGACCACCCGGAAATAGCTTCTGGCTTCGCCATAGAAGATCTGGCTATAGAGCCAGCTGGTGATCGCACCGGAGAAGAATGACATCCTCGAAAGGTCGAAATGACATGCGAAATGAATTCATGAAAACAAAAGAAAACACTTTGTCAGTCTGTCTTCGACTTTCATGAGCACATATGAGGCACATATGTGAGCCATGGGGCCGCGAGTGGGGAATCATTGAAAACTGTCTGGAGGGAGATTGGCCAAACAAAATGGTTGAAGTCTCCGGATACTGTATACCTTCTTCAACCAGGAGTCAACTGGCTCATTGCCTGAAACTTGGCATTGGTCTCCTGTCCAAGAAAGCTCTCTTTGACGATGCGGCCAGCAACAAAATAAGGGGCTTGACTGGACTTGTCCAAGTTCTCACCTATACATCCATGCATATCTCCAAAGAACTGATAGTTTTCATGAACTCCCTTTCCAGCACTGTCAACCTCACAAGGCCTCTAGAAACCTTGAACACTTGTTGTGAATACCAGGGAATGCAGGTCACTAGATGGGAAAGCACGCATATCTGAGCACGTTATTAAATAGATTGTATCAGTCAATCAAAGGGCTAGGAAAACTACGCGTTGCACAAGAAGACAAAATCCACACAAAGATCAATCCCCGGGCTCTGTCAGAGAGGGACGGTACAAGAAGCTGCGAGGAACGAGTTATATCATTATATATATATATATCGATATAACATGCGTTTTTTCAACATCTGCTATAACACCTGCTATATTAATATATAACACCTGTTTATCCATATATAACACCTGCTGTACTAATTTTGATAACACCTGTTATATCATACATATCAGGTGTTTATCGACATCGTGATTCGGCCAGGCTGCTTCAGAAGGGGACAACGCTGGCGTTATGAGGTGGTGCAGACCCACAATATGGTACCCTCCAAGTCATGGGCCCGCAAAAATATATGAGATCATAGGAGATGTCTAAGGTAAGTGACAAGGTCACAAGCATAGGCGCATGAAAACTGAAGGAATTTTGACCACCTGTCCTGTCATTTCAGAGCAGCCGAATTCTCAGATTCCAGCTCCCTCTATATAATGCACACCCTTCCACAACAGGCTTTCACTGGTTTAAGCGGAAGGAAGGAAAGGCTGAGGGTAAGGAAAGGGGGGGGTAAGGCTGATTTTCCACCGCCTCGAGAGAACCAGTTTCACCCGCTCTGTGGGCTGGAAAATTCCCATGTCAAAGTATGCATCGCACCGCTGCTCTCCTCCCCACACACTTACCTGGTGCGTTTTGCAGCTGCTAGCCGAGGGTTTCTTGGGGGCAGGCACAGCACAGGTCAACCATGTGCGTGGTCTCAACAGACCTCAAGCAACTCCGCTGCCCCGTTGAGGGGTCCAGAAGTCCACTGCTCGAGAGGGAGAGTCAAGAGGCGCAAAACACACTCCCGGCCACATCAATAACCCACCGATCAGTGAGTCGAAACAATCCAAACCTAAACTTGAGACACTTGGCTTCTCAAGAGCCGTCTTCCACCAAGCAGGGTGGAAGGAGAGTGCAAGCTGATTGCTTCTCACATTCAGAAGCGAGGCCGGACAGACCGACAAGCCCTGACCCACGATGTCGCATCGAGCCACCTGAAGCCGACCACGGTGTAGGATGCTACAGGCACCCTGGGTCGGAACTTCAGCAAAGTCGAGCAAGACCTGCTAAAAAGACATCGCTCTTAGTAGCAAGAAGCTACTAGTAGCTCCTGTTATTACTACTAGGAACAAGAAGCTACTATTAGCAAAGGGCATTACTACTAGTTAGTGAGTCCAAGCCAAAGGTCGCACGCGGAAAAGGTCTCCCTGAAGGATGAAAAGGTCTTCGCTGTTGAAAGTTCTCCACACACATGGACAGCCAGAGGAACCAAGAACTCGGCGTTGATAAACAACGCAATAGCACTTGGCACACAAGGCGCGAGTGTTGTCACATTCTTTCAAACCCTCTGAAGACCCTACCAATACTCATTGACAGTGACAGATGGTAGAAAAAGGAATGGACTGTTTCGTGTGTGATGTGGGCCTTCATGGCATGAGACCTTCCCTTGACTGTTGCAGGCCATCACTTGTTCATGGGTTGACTGGTCTGTGGAGTTTAGGGATGCTTCACACACAAATGGATACCTTTCATCTCCTGTGGAGACTTAACAGCTTCACCACCAGTTCCGAACCCCAGACCTGCCCCACGAGGCGGATCTCCACAGCTTGGATCAATGCAGGAAACCCAGCGAGGGGAAGATGAACCAGGCCAGCCACCAGAGGATATGGAATGCCAAAAATGGCCACCGGCATCCTGAGAGTGCGGTCAGGTCATTAGGTGTCCGTTTTGCAAGAAACACCACTGTGGTCACCAGCCCCTTCTCAATTGGATCGTTGGGGATTGGGCAGAAGCCGGGCAGCAGGGAGGATGCGTGTCATGTGGCCACGAGAGTAGGGAGAGCAGCACCCCTACCCTCCGAAAAAGTTCCTAGTAGCGTCCTTGCTCCTAGTAGAGCCCCTAGTAGCGTTCTTGTTCCTAGTAGCGATGCCCTTTGCTCCTAGTAGCGTCCAATTACGAGTAGGGTGCAACAGTTTATTGAAGTGTTGGAGCGGGCTGAGAATGTTACAATACAAAAGCCAGCTTTGCAAGCGATCAATACTTGTCTGCAGTGTACAATGCATTTGTTACTTTGTATGTCAATATATACCTGAGAAAGGAGAGGACGAAAGCCAGCGAGAGACCAATATGGTAGTGCAAGACTGGGAGGAAAAAAATGGCGGAGCACTTATTGTTGAATGCCTGTAGCTTTGGTGGAGCTTGTATCAACGTGGAGTAGATCAAGATCGGAGCACAGCATGAAGTGTTGAATGTTTTAGGCTTTATCGATTTTCCTGGCGCGGTGCCCTCTGGAGCGTCCCTGTTTGGTAGTCTAAATGAGAATCCGTGTAAAAATAAACGTCAGTGAAGACCAGGAGAAGGATGCCCGAAAGGTGGTTTTTGGTTGTTTTCAATTGTGTTTCGGGCATCGTGCATCAATGCGAAGCCCTATAAAGAGCAGGGCTGGGAGAAAAAAAGAGGAGAGCACTCATTCTTGAGTGGTTGCAGTTTTCGTGGAGCTGGTATCACTGCGACGTAGATGAAGTTGGGAGCACAGCATGAAGTGTTGAATGTTTTTAGTATTCTTGATTTGCTTGGTGCGGCGCCTTCTGGAGCGTCCCTTGTTGGTGTTCTATTTGCGAATCCGTGCAACAATAAACGTCAGTGAACAAAAGGAGAATGATGCCCGAAAATGGTTTTGTGGTTGCGTTGAAATGTGTTTCGGGTTTCGTGCATCAATGCGAAGCCCTATAGAGAGCAGGGCTGGGAGGAAAAAATAGCAGAGCACCTATAGTTGAAAGCTTGTAGTTTTGTGGAGCTGGTATCACTGCGACTGAGATCAAGATCGGAGCACAGCATGCAGTGTTGAACGCTTGCAGCTTTCTTGCTTCTCCTCTTGCGGCGCTCTTATCCCCAAGCCTCTACCTCGCCCAACTGGACATACTCACATCGTTCGCTCCCAGAGCATTCACTCTTTGTTGCAAGAAGAAGAAGAAGAAGAAGAAGAAGAAGTAGATCGCCAGCGCCCACACGCACGCAACAGCGCAACGGCTGCACGCACGGAGATGACCAGCGCCCTCAGCCAACCTTAGTCTCGCCGCACGGGGAGCATCAGCTGGCGCACAAATTAGGCAAGTAACGGAGCACATCCGCTCGACCACCTGATGCAGGGGGCTTTGAGAGCGTCAGCCCAGGAAGCAGGACGCTCAGGTTGAGAGGCACCAGGCCAAATGCTCGAACGATCCAACGGGGTCACCACAGAAAGGACAGGCCCGGTCGAATGAAGAATTGGCCTTGAACAACATGAGAGGAGAAACAAAAGCCCCTGTCAAAACAGCAATCTCGTGTGTAGTAGCCGTCTCAGCAATGTTTCTGAGGCGCTTGCAACGCCGTTCACTATATGGCACATTCTGAAGGGAATCAACCTCATGGCGCTTACCCCCCAGGTATGAAGCCCCTCTGTCGACGCCACGATTCACGTGCGGCGTGCTGCGCACAACTTTCAAGTCACAACAATCTCTCCAAGCATCATGCTGAGGTTCCAAACAAATGACCTGAGTAATCTCCGGATGCGACCATCTCCAAGGGCCGTCAGCAACCCAACCAAGATGCTGCAGCCAAGAATCGAGCCGGTGCGCCGGCCCGTTTCTCTGCCCCCAATCACTAAGACAATGAACAAGATGTCCAACCGATGGCCAAGGGTCAAACGAGTCAAGTCCACTGATGCCATACGGTGGTTGAAGTGGGCTTGCTTAAGCCCTGTTTCTAGCTTGGCAACTAAGCAAGCAGCTGGCGACCTAGCCAGCCACCCATACACAGCCTTACTGGCCACAGCTGTCATGGCCACAAAGGCCCGAACCTTAGGTGACCGAGGAAGGAAAGCGACCTTACTAGCGCAAGCCATGGCTTTTTGAATCCTTTCAGCTTCTCTGGCGGTAGCCTTGCCAACACACAGCATGGCCCCTAACACAACCATCTCAGGGACCACATGAGCGGACAGCGGACACAAAAGGAATCGCGAGCAACCGACGCCTGCCAGCAACCGCCTTGTGGGTGACCTGAGCTTTTCGAGGGTTTTCAACTAAGCCAATTAAAGGCGTGTGTTCATGCCATTTCTGAAATACAGCGGCGCATTCATTCGCAGAAGGGCTGGCCCAAGCTCTGTCATCAACATTGCGGCGCATCGGCGCAGCCAGCAACAAATTCATGACAGCGGGGGATAAAGCATCACCCTGTGGTATTGGAGCGCGGACTTTCACGGGCTGCCGCTGCCAAGAGCCCCACCAAGAGAACCAACGCTGCTGAGAGCCCCACACCTGAAGTAAGGCTCTGCAGAGGTTTTGCGGCCAACCGTACCATTCCAAGGCGCCGATAGCCATGCTGGGCCTGATGTGATCAAAAGCCTTAGCGAGGTCAAGAGACCCCCAACAAAGTTGCCACAGGCATAGTGGCTGGCGACTTCTACAAACGTGGCCCCAGCGTCCCTGCCCCTACTTGCCCCAGCCTGTTCGGCTGGCAGCTGCATGGTTGTCGAGCCAACGCTGAGTTTCGGGGTTGGCAACCCTGGCACCAATCCACACCCTCCCGACTGCGCAAGCCAGGCATCAAATCCTGCAAAGGTTCGCAGCAACCGTTCTACCAGCACAAGTGCATCTTCATAGCATGTCCGCAGCAGCTGCCCCCACCATGCCTTGCGCTGCTCAGCCGCAGCACAGTACACCCAGCGCCTTCGCGCCGCTGCCATGGCAAGCACATGGGTCGCCGCCGGGTCTGGGAGGCCCGTAACATTGCTTTTAGCAATGCCATCGTGGCCAGTGAAAGTTCCAACGTTTCTTTGTTCCGAGATCTGCACGGAATCGGATGGTTCATTCAGTCCAGAGTATCCATACTGGCCCGAGATTCTAACGAAATCGGACGGGTTCCACGGCACCGAGATCGTGGCGAAATCGGCCCAGTTGTCTTGGAAGGCAGAAGCAGGCAGCAAAAGTTGCAAGCAGCAGAACAGCCACCTGCACCAGCCAGCTCCTGTCTTTCGACAGCACTTCACTGAGAGCTTTCTCTCCTGGCTCTCGTCCACTCTTTTGTTTTTCTTGTTCTTCTTTTTTGACTTTTTTGTCTTCACTTTTTTTTGGCTTTTCTTTTTGGTGCATTTTTGAATTCTCTTTCTTGTCCCTGTCACACAACGTGGTCAAAACCACGCTCCAAAGCCGTCCTATTGCGTAGCTGAGCCAGCGCCTCATCTGGCGCAAGCAGGCCCGCACCCTCCGCATGGAGGAGTAGGACAGAGTGCTCACTCTTTGTTGCTTGGTCCTTCTTGGTATGATCAGAGCTACACAGTCCCTATGCCCTACTCAGGACTAGAAAAATTGTCTCCAGACCCCTTCATGATGTACTCAGCGTCCGTTGCATCACTCGCATCACCACACTCCATTTTCACTGCGTTTCTGACCCTTGCTTTGGAGCGCTCTCCCCCACCAAGCTCCGGGTTCACCCTCTCAAAAGGTGCCTTTTCGCACCCTCCCCCCCCCACACCCCCTTATCTCACTTCGTTCGCTCTAAGAGCTCAAGCCTAGCCTATCGGCTGGCTTTCGTAATATATATATATATATGTATAGCATGGTGCGGTTCGAGCGTCAGGAGGCCCTCTGCTGGCCTACTGCTACTTTCTATACTTTGCCAAGGCACAAGAAGGCATTGGCAATGCTGGTGCTCCTGTGGGGGGGTGCTTCTTAGATAACCTTGTTTCAAAGTCCACTTTGTCCGCATCAAGTGTAGCTACAGTAGATCTTGCATGTTGACAATTCTATATATTGAAGCTGACCAAGCTTTTCACCGAAGCTACTAGTAACAAAGGGCATCGTGAGTCGCTACTAGGAGCAAGGACGCTACTAGTAGCTCCTGGCATTACTACTAGGAACAAAAAGCTACTAGTAACAAGGCATTTCTACCAGGAGCAAGGACGCGACAGCAGAATGAGCAGGATGCACTTCTTCAAGCCAAACATGTCTACTTACGCTGCTGTGCCCAATCCACTTGTCTGACAGGTAACCAAACCAAGGAATCTTCAAGGCCTCGTCAGACAACCCAAACACATCAAGGGTTGGCCCGGCCCTGTGACGTTTTGAGCTCCTGTGATAGAAGAAGGAGTTTCTCCAAACCCGCCGGGTGCCATATTGGCCACCTAAGCGAGGATGGTCCCAACCTGTCCTGGAGGGATTGGGATCAGACGTGACTTTTGACATCACTTAAATGAGAGATGGCAGTCTCACTCTAGCCAGCGGAATTGGGCGTCTAAATCCCAAATACAATGTAGTCACAAATGTCATGACACGTAGCCAAACGCACCTTGACGTACTGCAATGCAATGCGATGCAATGCGATATGGTACTTGATGCAGTGCAAAGCATGGCACACATGGCGTGTGGCGTGCGCGGCGGCACACTGATCAGTCAAGCAGCACCATTTGGCGACCAGTCCACCCAGTAGCACACCACCAACAAGGCCTGGGACGAAGTTGTACACGAGTGCATCAAACTGGGAGAAATGGAACCTCAGGCTTCAAAGCTCTACAGTAAATGTGAGAGGGGCAGCACCTGTGAAGCCGCTATCTTGTTCGATCAAAGCAGTGAAGTAGATGATGCATCCTGCGTTCGATTTACAGTAAAATCCTTCAATACGGACTTTGTAGCGAAGTATCCTTTGCATCTTGCACTTACATCCACCTTTCCTAGGCACCCGGACTGTGCCATGAGGAAGGGCATCCCGATCGCGCTGGCATCTGCCATCTTCACCAGAAACTCTTCTCCCAGGCGATATCCGACGTAGGGATGCCTGTAGAAATAAATCAAGAGCTGCAAGTGAGTCAAGAGTCTCAGGATGCAACTTTGCAGTCTCTGTGAGTTGTCAAATGCTGTCTGTCAGAGGGCCGGTGGCCGGTATGGTCCAGTGGCTAGTGGCAATGCATCAAATCCCCGGGTGCAACACTCACTAGGCAAACACAGGCCACTACCCCACCCCTGCAGTTACTGTAAGGGGATGAGCGGACCGGGTGTGGACCGTCAAACACAACAATCCTGTCAATCATGCCATGAAGCATGCTTCGGAACCTTACTTCTTTCTGAGAAGAAATGACAGTAGCATAGCCATAGCAGTGAAAGGAAGATCTGTTGGATTGTTGTAGGTCTCTCTATACAGTTCTCACCAAGCCGCGTTGTGATGATCTTCTTAAAGGTTTTAACTTCATCCTTTGCCACACCTGACACGATGGAGGTGGGCCCTGACAGGTTCATCTGAGTGGTTGTGAACTCCTTGGGTACCCTTTGGAAGCACGATAGTACATCCAATGACAATAGCCTCACCAAGATCCTATTATCTCTTGAATGGCAGCATATTGTAGACTGGTTCACTCTCCCAAGCTGTGCTGCTCCGCAACGAGGTTCCCCAACAACATCCTCATCAAAGCTGCCGGCTTTTTTTCTCCCCCCCCCTCTCTCACGTGTGAGAAAGCAGGCTCTCTTGAGCGCCCTATTTGGTCGCTTTATTTGGAGACTGTTGCTTGGATAGTAAAGATGCAAGTCAACCGACTGCCTAAGCAAGAATCCGCCTGCGCCAGCTCTCCCTCCCGCCTATGATTGACAGATTCTCCTTCTCCTTCTTGTCATCGTTCTGTTTCTTGTTCAAGGTCTCTGGAAAGAAAAGGTAGATCAGCGCCATGGCTACACTATTCAATCCAACGATACCACTCCAGACCTCAGCAAACGAAACATGGTTCAAGTAGACTGTCGTTTCACTAGGGACAAGTAGGCCTGGATCCACAACATTTGCCAATAAATAATCTCTGATGTCGTAGTGGAATAGATCCAAGCTTGGCAAGTTCGTGGGAGTGGGCGGTCTTCCTGCTGTCAGGATGGCTAGGGTGGGGGCCAGGGAGTAGCTACTAAGGGTCTAGCTACTAAGCTTAAGTAGTTTTTCCTAGGACGCAAAAGGGCTCAAGCTTAATGATTTGGTTCCTAGATGTTGGGGGAATCAAATGTCAAAATGCCTTGGTCTTTCATCCCTCCACCATCTGCTACCGAAGAAATGTTGGCTGTGCTGCCCAAGCAGCCCAAGTGAAGTCTGTGATCTCTGCGTATTGAACGTACACAATGATGGGAATCAGAACTGAGCTCATGATGCAAGGAAAGAGGGCCGTATTGAAGGCTTCCTTACCTTCTTCTTGTTCATATCTTTTCTCCAAGGTCCACCAGGGTGGACGGGAAACTCAAGCCTTCTCAAGCCATCAATATGTCGCAAATACTGTGTGACTGTGTGAGACAGGATCACCTGCAATGCGACACAACATTCTTAGTCAATTTGGGTTTGATGTCATCGAATCGTACCTTTTCAGTTTGTCACATGCTTGGCCAATCTTTGGCTGAACAGTGTGGTGGTTGCAGCCAAAGAGCGGGCCATGATCATAGCCGACACAATGCCTTTGCGGCTGTACCTGAGAATCTCAACTCTTGAAGATCCTGTGTTTGCCAGTGCCCACCCAATCTGTAAGCATGTTCGTCAAATCAAAGCAGCCCCAGACTGGTTTCATTATATAATATAACCAGGTTGCACCCCTCCTAAAACATGGGAAAAATGCAAGCAAATCACACCATTTGGAAAACCTATATATATCAAGTACCCAAGGTTCATATCTAGGCCAAGGCACACCGCCACGCTGTCATTCAAGATCAGGGCCACGTCACCGGTAACAATTCTCAGGCAAAACGTTGTATCTCTTCAAATCTCTTCTGTCACGTTCTGTGGATGTGTGTTTTGGAAGAGCCAAAAGGGCAATCTGCCAGCAATCCTAAAATGATCAAGTCTAGTAGTCGAACAATAAATTCTACCTGGATCGAAAGCTGTTGACAAGGCCTCATAAGAAACAAATAAACAACGTCAAGTATCTGATCCAGAATGCCGATGCCACTCATGCCTTGAAGTCCTTGTGCCACAATGTATGTGGGGATTGCCAGGCCTCCAAGTGCTGATCTTCACATGTCGCACTGGCAAATGACATCTTTGGACAAGGCTTCTCGTGCACTCCCTGCCTGAGGGTAAAAACATGGCTATCGCGAAGAGTGCTGTTGAAAGTGTGATCAAGAACCTGGCATTGCCAGGTGTGAGCTAGGATCTTGCGTTGGGCTGCAACACTCAAGAACTTCATCATTTGCAAGTCCACTTGCTTCCCAGCAAACTGGCTGGCCAAGTCCATGCAAATGTTGGCTTTAGCACAGATTGGTGCAGATCGAATGAGTTTATTAGGTGCCCCATGTGCTGGTCGTCTGCTGATTCCAATAGTGCCCAGCTCACTGCCCCAGCAAGGCCGCCCTCTTGCGACCATAATCGGCGAAGCCACTGACAAACCTTGAAGAAGCAACCAAGATGCAGATCAAACAGCAAAAGAAAGCAAGGTAGGATCGTTCGACTGCTGATTGAGGGAACCACAACGACTTCTGGAAGGTAAGTATAGTGCACAGTACGATCACAAATGTGCCGAAACTTCTTCAACAAATACCAGCAGCTGAGAACTCCAAGCATCTTAAAACGAAAGAACAGCAACGGTTCGAACGTCTCATCGCATAATTCACGAACTTCTATGACCAGGGCACAGCGTGATCAGGATTCGTCCTACCTTGGGTGGCCAAGGTTCAGCGGAAAGCCAACGACAGCGGAAACATGAGCAATGTCAAATCAAAAAGTGGAGGAAGCACAGTGCCGCTGGGGTCCCTGACAGTTGCTGAGGGGTGGTTGGCCCTCACTGGTGCTTTGGGGCCAAGTCGCATTCTCCAGGCTTTGACCTTTGCCAGAAACGTGGGCCCCCACATTGATCACGTGCAAGCGATTACCACAATACATGGACCCAGAGAACTCAGCACCTTCAGCTGCAAGTGAGATCGTTTGCTGTTAGCAGAACGAATACACGGAACCATCTAGAACCAAGGAGAACCACACACCATGAAGTTGATGGCCAAAATATGCCTGTGGGACTGTGGATTGAAATTGCTAAGGGCTCACGACACACAGGCGAGTAGGGTAAAAAATGGTAAAACAGAGAGGCTTTGCTATGGAACTATTTAGAATTGACAGATATTGAAAGCACTTATACGAAGATCATTCAATGTCTCTCTTTACCATTTGCCATGCTCCGGATTCTACCCTGACGCTATCTAGCAGATCTAGCATTCTCGTACTTCTGGGTGCCTTCAGTCGTGTTCACCGGAACATCACAGTGGATCAAAGATCGAGCATATGGCTGCTCCAGCAGGTTCACCACAACGATGCCTGGACAACCGCAACGGTTGGAGCATGAAACAGCCCGAAGCACTCACTTCTTGGAGGCTCTGTGCAAGGACACGCTGTTGACTACCCAGTTTGCTAACACCTGCCGCTCCCTCATTAGGGCAGTCAATCCTTAAAAACATACATGTAGCAAGGACAAAACAAACAGGGAATCTGGACAGAATATGAGCTGCTTTGTCACAACTGCATTCAAGCTGCTCACCCAGCAAAGAGTCAGGATCAAATATGTGCGAACCTCAGCTTGCACCAGAGGCCCCAATGCCGATAGATGCTCACAGTTGTCTTCCGAGTAACGGTTCCCCCATTCTATATATATGTATCCCATTGCAGTATTTCTACAAACTATCAAAGCGCTACCATCAGCAGCACTTTTCCTGAATGTGCGGGGCTTGGCTCCAAATTTCCAAATCTCCCAAAGTCCCAGCACGCGCCTCCAATGGGGTAAATCCTAAAGGCAAAGCCATGAGTTCAATGGCAGGAGTGGATAATGCGAATAAGTTCTGTATCTTGTGTCTCCTACAGAAAGTGCATGCCTCAACTGTACATGGAAATGCTCATGACAGGTTGATGTAAGATGTTCATCTTGTATGGGTTCAATCGCAGATTGATTGCAAAAGGTAGCTGTGTACAAACTGCTTGAGTGTCCTACACAGCCTTTGGGAACGGGTCTGAATCAGTGAGTCTTGCAAGCTATGCATTCGTCCAGTTCGGAGTACCTTTCCGAGCCAAAGTAGCACGTTCGGACGGACAGAACCTTGAGCTACAAGTCTCGGTTTCTACTCTCCAACTCTACTTGGCTATGGCTCAAAAGTGGGGTGCCATCAAACCCCACTCAAAGACATTGTGGACTAAAGCGTGGGGGTCCCTGATCTTGTTTTTGACATCCACCGGTCCTCCTTCAAACTTATGTTTGAGAATAAGACCATTGGATGCACATTCAAAGGTGGAACATCATGAACAACACACATCCACAGGACTAGCAGTTGAGATGTTGCGGTTTAGGTCTTCATTTTGTGCCTCTTCAATCATGCAAAGTAGGCTTCGACACCGCGGCGGCGTGCTTTCCAGTAACCAATGTCGATCTACAAATCTACAAGTACAAGTACACCATCTGGACTCGCAAGAAGTTTCCGCTGGACAAACCTCTGGGATCACCGACAACGCTTGCTCGGTATTGTGAGAAGACCGTGGATATGCTTGGTGCTTCCTGAAGGGCATCTTTGTCTCAGCATTGTCTGGCATGTGCATGTTCAGTCAGCATGCCTGCCCACACTTTTTGATATACGGGCCTCAAATCCCTACAAATCTCCACAGTAGTAAGCCCTGCAGCCGAGTCCTTGTTGAAAGCGTTCGTGGTAATGAAGTCCTTGATCAGAGGTGCAGCCAAGCACTTCACCTGAAGGACCCCCTGTCTGTTGCTCGCTTGCTCAAAGTCATGGCAAAGGAATGGCCAAGGCCACGCATGACAACTATATTGCTGTAAACTGCCAAAACCTTCCAGGCACATCTTGTTATAGATGTTCTCAATTGGTTTCAACTGTTTTCTAGACTCCCACGTGTTCACTCATCTTACCTCAATCCAAAAGGTTTGCCGAATGCTGTTCTTCACTCGTTCTGCTACGTTCCCAAGGCTCCCAAGCCATTGGAAGAACTGTTCGGGCATAGATCGTCATCGCCAGCCGCATTTTGATGGCATTTCTGCGACAAAGCGCTGACAATCTCTACAACGTAGTTTACGTATCGCATCGTATAAGCTCAGTGTCTTGGCGACAAAACCAATAATGTTTACTGTAGCCACGTTAGCCTTTGGTAAATCAACTATGGGGCTGGCCACCCGCTGAGTTTGATTCATTGCGATGTGGCGATGTCTGAAAATCTTGCATGGTTCTGAGTACACAGGAAGGCCAGAGTTGCTTTTGAAAGCTCTTGCATGAAACCGACATAAACTCGTCAATGCGTCAAAATCTGTGCGAATAAAAGAATCATTTGCATTTTCTTGGGCTTCGTAACGTACCTCCAAATCATTGAGCGGCCTTCGAGAGAAGCAGTCATTCCGTCGCATGACAAGGGTTGGTAAAAGCAGTGTTCATCATTTTTCATCACATACTATTGACTCTTGACAACTGAAAGCCTGCTTCACCGGCTTGCTCTAAGCTTAAACTGACACGATCTGGCAGTGTATTCTGCAAAGTCCGTAGCACTTTGTTCTTTGCGAGCAACATGAAGAAACCCAAACGCGAAGGAGGCAAGTCCTGTGCAAGTGCTCTGTGCAGTTTAGAATAGTTTAGATATTGGACTGCGCACACTCGCCACCAACTCTCATTCTGTTGGTGTGCAAGTTCATGTTCACTTTTGCCGAGCCTTCGAATTTCTGGGGATGCTTGTCCGCAAATCAAGCATACTCTGAGCAACTCATCTATCGAACCAGAAAGCGCGCTGGGAACGTGAAGGAGGCAATACTGAGGGCTCTGGCGCTTTCTGACCAGATTGCGTCGGAAGGTGCCTGGGTTTGGGCATCAGGGCTGGATGGATGGACAATGCACATCTGCATGATCTTTTGAACGCACGAGTATCATAAGACTGTTTATAGGCTGAAGGCGTTTGGAGACACGACCCTCTAGAATCACCGTTTGCACCTTGTTAATATCGAATCATGACTGCTCAAAAGTCCCTTCAAAACCCCAAGCCACGTGCAAAAGGTTTCACAATGGCACACACCAAATACATGTTCAGCAATTTGTGCAGACAAGTACAAGTATCGAATACACCTTCTATCATATCCCTCTTTTCTTTTTTTCAACTGTCCTTCGATTCTCGTGTTGCCTCAATTCTTGCTACACCATGAAGCACTATCACTGTTCTTCAAGAAGGTCGACAAATTTCTCTTCTCCAATTCCTTCAACAATCTGATCCCTTTCTCCGCCTTTCTCCCCATCCGCAGGTGATCTCCAATTCTTAGCTCCCGCGCTGTCCAAGACCGTCGCCGAAGCCAACTCCCGGCGGATTCGGTCCATCTCCCGGCGTCTCTCCTTGTCCGGAGAAGCTGTTTGTTTTTCTGTTTGTGTTGGGAAGTTAAGGCTCAGCAACTTCATCATCCAGCTTTACAAAAAATACACTTCATCTGCGCGTGTTTCATCCTCGTCTGTTCTAGTGAATTAAGTTATATATCTTGCAAATGCTTGAGTTGCTTCAATGCTTGCCTTTCTAAATATGTCGTCTGTGGGTTCCAAAAAATAGCTCTGCCTTTAGCATTGTCGTCACCACAGTAAGCCAGACGTGAACAATGGCCAGGGTTCTCCACCCGATGTGCAAGTGTATTACTCACAATGCTATGTTTTCCTTTCTTGCATGTTGATCTTGCCAAGGACAACATCCAACGATGTGAAACGATGTATGTTCTTGTGGACAAACAAGTGTACCAGAATCCTTGCGCACTTGCAGAAAGCAGGCTCCTGGAAGATCTCTGCCACAGTCTTGACAAAAGTCCCCTAAGGAAGATGCACAGAACAGCACGGCGGTACATAGTTGGGTTTTGCAGAGGGGCTGCGACCAGGCATGTCAAACTTGGGCTCTGACAACCATAAGGTCGGTTAGCCATGTCTGATGGCGCGACTCTTGCTGAAGCTGGAGCGCATGCTGGAGCTCCTGAAAGAAGCAAATTTGGTTTCCTACAACCCAGACATGTACAACCAGCAATGAACTGTGCAAATGAAATCCGAAGTTTGAAGAAAGCTACGCGGTCTTCGGTTCAGATTGCCACGCTTGTGCAAAGCAAGGACCTGCTCTTCGCGTTCTCGCCGCTTATTTTCGGCGCGGCTCATCCATTGGACCTGGGTGTGGAAGCTAGCTCCACTTTGTGCAGTGCTTTGTATAGAGGCTCTGGACAACGGGCCACAAGTCAACAGTGTTTTCCCATGTTTTCCCTAGCCTTACCTGTTCTACGTGAAGTGGATTGGATTTGTATCTTGGAGAAGTTGCCGTCCCAAGCTTACTTGATTCAGAGTTACCTCAGTCCAATCTTGCAAGCTGCAGAAAGTTGCGTAATCAAAAAGAATGCAATTGGAGTTCTCAGGGCTCTGAGGGATGCGGTGATATTCGGAATGAAGAACGTGAAGACTTTGTTGAAAGTGCAGAAAAGGGTGTTGTTGTAATTCAAAAAAAGAATCCCGATGCTCTCCCTTTCCCTCTCTCTCTCTCGCGCGCGCTCTCCCAACGCAGCCAAGAAGCGTGTCGCTCCTGCTGTTCCTGGCAGTCTTTCAGCAAGAGGTACTGCAACTCTGCAATTCTGCTTGCAAGTATGAGTACTGTATCTGCTTCTGAACTTGAGGTACCCTTGCATACGAGACTGTCTCGAGCAAAACCATGCACCTAAAAATTTGGTAACTACAAACTCCTGACCTGAAAAATTTCGTGCCTATTTCCTCGCGAGACCTTGCCTCCTCAAGGCGTTCCCGGCGCCAAGAGGCCACTGTCTGTCGATGGCAGGCGAACACGGCCTCAGGGCAAGCGGTGAGAAGCGGTGCACCAGCCTTCCATGGATTTGTGGACCTGATTTCATGGATACTAGGGTAAACGGAAACGACCTCAGTTCCACCTGTCTGAAGGTTGCCCAGTCTGTGTTTCTGGTCATCGCAGACCGTCCCGAACAAAACGGATAAACAAAACGGCAGTGTTCTGAACACGGATTCTGTGTTTTGGGTCAAGCAAGACATGTGTTTTTGGTTCTGCTGTGAAGGAGCGATATGCATCTCGGGCTTTGCATTTCCTGGCATTGCCGGCATCACCTCAGCCATTAGTAGCAATGAGGGCCTTAAACCTCCGACACGGGTTGGTTAAAGAGAGTTCTCCCAATGGCATCCAGCTTTGTAGTGTCCTGTGCACCCGGGCTTTTCTTTGAATCTTCAGCTGACGTTGAGGCCAGTTCTCCATCGCCAAACTGCAGAGACCAGCCACGATGGCGGACTTCGGCAAGTGTCAACTTTCACGAAGTCGGGTAGAGCAAGGTCTAGTGTGTTCTACTAGAGCAAGTTACCATGATTGTACAAAGAACAAAGGCGCAATGTTCGTCTGTTCTATGTACTCCTTCTCCAAAGCTCTAGCCCCTGGCTTTACAACACCATCTTCGAAGAAACAAAGCAGTTCGGTAGCGCCAAAAATTCCTATCCACTCAAAGCCTGAGCTGATTGGCTTCGAGAAAGTTGCGGCCACGTGCAAATTCTTCAATCCTCAGTTTGCAGAGTGTAAGTTCGGAAGATTTGAGATGGGGAAAGCCTGAACCTTGACAAGACACACCACAGGTCTGTTGACATGTGTCCACAAAAAAGGCCAAGGGAAACCATATGTCCAAATGTTGAAATAAAAAGCAGCGTGCGACCCCGGTTTGATTGGCCGGTTTGGGGCAATGCTCAGTGTCTATGTTTAATTGGACTGACGTTGTCCTCTTCACATTCAGTTAACAAAGGCTACACTTACAGGTACTTCGAACGGAAAAACGTTGCGAACAGCG